GCATAGTAGGAAATTGCTTGGAGAGAACAGACTACTTTTGAGAACCCAAGGCAGAGGAAGCATGATGGCACTAGACACTTGCCAAGGAGATGAGGGGCATGAAAATAAGCTTATAAGACCTGATGATGCATTTGGAATATTCACCATTTTATGTTAGTTGTATGAGACTCAGCAGTCAACCAGATTTTGGTTGTGCATTAGCAAATATCAATTCTCAAAGTACTAGCAATTTAAGTAACTATTATAATGGAGTCAAAACTTAAGAGTAGCATGGATGTTATCTAATGGTAATCTTTACCGCCTTTTTTTTTTTTTTTTTTTCGTGGTACGTGGACCTCTCACTGCTGTGGCCTCTCCTGTTGCGGAGCACAGGCTTCGGATGCACAGGCTCAGCAGCCATGGCCCACGGGCCCAGCCGCTCTGCGGCACGTGGTATCCTCCCGGACTGGGGCACGAACCCGCGTCCCCTGCATCGGCAGGCAGACTCTCAACCACTGCGCCACCAGGGAAGCCCTACCGCCTTTTTTTTAATCGATTTTTAAAATTGAAGTATGGTTGATTTACATCTAATAGTAATCTTTAGATATGCATGTTATATTTTATAAATAAGTTTTATAATATACTAAGACAATTTAAAATTAAAAAATAAATCATTGCATAGAATATGTATAAACCACAGTCAATAGTTATTCTTTCTTCTCAATCTACTGAAGAGATGAAAATTTTCAGACACCCAAATAGAAAGCACAAGACTGAGCTCATTTAAGACAGGGAATACTTTATTCAAACCCATCAGAGAAATGGATAGCCTGGATCTATAACAAAGCGTCGTGTTTTAAAGCATAGGTCAGTAATTGTACATGAGAGTATACACTGCTACATACAAATTAACTGATCAGACCACAACTTTTCAATGTTTAAAACAGAATAAGCTTCCCTGTAAAAGCAGCACCTTTGTGACATTTTAACTTTAGTACTCCTCTCCTTCTTCCTCTCCCTCTCCTTCAACAGAATCCACACCAACCTCCTCATAATCCTTCTCAAGGGCAGCCATGTCCTCACGGGCCTCAGAAAACTCTCCTTCCTCCATGCCCTCACCCACGTACCAGTGAACAAAGGCACGCTTGGCATACATCAGGTCAAACTTGTGGTCCAGGCGAGCCCAGGCCTCAGCGATGGCTGTGGTGTTGCTCAGCATGCACACAGCTCGCTGTACTTTGGCCAGGTCTCCACCAGGTACCACAGTGGGAGGCTGGTAATTAATGCCAACTTTGAAGCCAGTGGGGCACCAGTCCACAAACTGGATGGTACGCTTGGTCTTGATGGTGGCAATGGCAGCATTGACATCTTTGGGAACCACATCGCCACGGTACAACAGGCAGCAAGCCATGTATTTACCATGGCGAGGGTCGCATTTCACCATCTGGTTGGCTGGCTCAAAGCAAGCATTGGTGATCTCTGCTACGGAAAGCTGTTCATGGTAGGCTTTCTCAGCAGAGATGACAGGGGCATATGTGGCCAGAGGAAAGTGGATGCGAGGATAGGGCACCAGGTTGGTCTGGAATTCTGTCAGATCAACATTCAGGGCTCCATCAAATCGCAGGGAAGCGGTGATGGAGGACACAATTTGACCTATCAACCTATTCAGGTTAGTATATGTTGGGCGCTCAATATCGAGGTTTCTACGACAGATGTCATAGATGGCCTCATTGTCTACCATGAAGGCACAATCAGAGTGCTCCAGGGTGGTGTGGGTGGTGAGAATGGAGTTGTAGGGCTCAACTACAGCTGTGGAAACCTGAGGAGCTGGGTAAATGGAGAACTCCAGCTTGGACTTCTTGCCATAATCGACAGAGAGACGTTCCATCAGCAGGGAGGTGAACCCGGAACCAGTTCCCCCGCCAAAGCTGTGGAAAACCAAGAAGCCCTGAAGACCTGTGCACTGGTCAGCCTGTTACAAAAGAAGAATAGAAAAAACATAGTTATTGCTCTTTGTGATACCCTCACAGTAAACATAATAAGTATTTTCACTTTTCATATTAACTCCAAAGACTTAGGTTGTATTCTGACAAGAAACACTTTTTAAAAAATGTAGACCTTCCTTAAATTACTCAGCATTACTTTATTAAAAATATCTCCATTAATATTTATAAAATGACATCAATAGTTCATATTTTAATTGAACTTTAAAAAATCTTTAAAGGAATAATTAACCTTACTATTACATTTCAATTCTGTGTGAAAAAAAGAGCATATTCCAAATATCTCCCTTAGGTTCATTAATTTACTTTATTCTTGAGAATAAACATACCAGTTTCCGAATTCGGTCCAAGACGAGGTCAATGATCTCCTTGCCAATGGTGTAGTGACCTCGGGCATAGTTATTGGCAGCATCTTCCTTGCCTGTGATGAGCTGCTCAGGGTGGAAGAGCTGGCGGTAGGTGCCAGTGCGAACTTCATCTGGAAAAGGAAAATGAAGCAGCCACCCATCATTAACAACCTGCACAAGTCTGCTTGACCCCAGGGCATCAGTGGAGCCCCCAGGACACACCTTCTGTCCCAGACCCCCAGGATCTCATTGGGGTTACTGAGGTCAACTCACCAATGACCGTGGGTTCCAGGTCTACAAACACTGCCCTGGGCACATGTTTGCCAGCGCCTGTCTCACTGAAGAAGGTGTTGAAGGAGTCATCTCCTCCCCCAATAGTCTTGTCACTTGGCATTTGGCCATCAGGCTGGATGCCGTGTTCCAGGCAGTAGAGCTCCCAGCAGGCATTGCCGATCTGGACACCAGCCTGGCCAACGTGGATGGAGATGCACTCACGCTGTGGGAAGGAACAGAGAAAAACTGTAAAATTAGTTATATTAGCATTTTCAGTTTTCAGTAAATTTCTAAAACTAAGAAATATAGAAGTATTCTTCAAATTTATTTGAGGTCATATTCATAACACAATAGAAACAGTTAAGGAAAACCACCTGCTGTAAATGCTGCAGATGCGTGTGATCTGAATAATAATGTTGCACTGTTTAGCACATGGTGCAAGCCCATTGTTCCAAAAGCCATGCTTGAATAGAAGATTTCTCATATTTAAAAAATATTCAAAGCACAGAATTTGTAAAATGAAGTAAATTCAATCAGTAATTAACTGTCATCAATATTACTGCCTCCTTTCCCTTTAAATAAAGATGAGCATTTCTGCTAAATAGGACTTGGTATTCCAACATGGACATCTGTACTGCAGCTGAGGCTGGAAGCCACACCCTTTTGCAGTCTTTCTGCAGAATCCATCAGTACTAGCGGATTAGAAGCTAAACAAGGAATGTCTTCTGCATTGCTGCATTGCTGCATTTGCTGTGCCTGGTGCCAGCCTGTACTGTCTGCTACATTATTTAACAGAGCAAGCTCTATTTCCAGCAACTGTGCCTACATGATCTCATTGTGCTATTCTGCCAGTTTTCCTCCTCTGACCCAGCCTGGGACCATATGCCTACATTGAAATGAATTAATTAAGATGCACTAGAACAAAAGACAGCTGCACAAGAGTATGTCTTCTTTGTCTGCAGCATTTTCATTTCTTAAAAAAAAAAAAAAAAAAAGTTTTCCCAGAATCTTCTCCACTGCAAAAAAACTGAAAAAATTATTAGTATCTTTAAAACAACGGTTCCTAAATTACAAATAAATAGCACATGAGAAGCTACCAAACAAGGAAAAAAAGCCCAGTGAAAGGATAATGAAATATTATTTAAAACAACAAAATAGTATTTTCATTCTGAGATTCTGTAACCGTCACAGAATACAGAACATTCATACTCATTACATTCAACAGAGAGTGTCTTCTCAATGGCTTCTATGGCTACAGCTTCTTTCGTCTATCCGTTGTCTATTCACTGACAAATGGGGGCGGGGGGGGGCGGAGGGAAGGGCGTTTCCCTGGGTCCTCCGCAATACAGCACCCTGGCTCACAAAATCGGCTTTCTCTCTCGCTGAACGTGCGGCCAAGACGGACACACACGAGTCAGTCAGGGCTGGGCGGCCCCACACCAGACATTAAAGGGCTTGTCAAGTGAATTGTGATTTTGCTCCTCAAGAAAAAAAAAATTCATCGAAGTTTTAACAGTGAATGAAAAACCTTTTAACGCCTACGGTTCTGCAAAGATGAAAGGCTTATTAAAAGTCTTCTCCTGACAGAGGAGGCTTAGTGAGGGCGAACCCCGCCCTGTGGTTCCAAGGCCAGAGAAGCAAGAAACAAACAACTCCGCCCCTGCGCCGCCTTGACGCCGGCCGCCACGGGTTCCAACAGAAACTAACCATTTTCCCCGTTAATACATGGGTATCTTTCTAAAACGTCAACGAACTGGCGAGGGATCTTTTTATATTAAGCCGAAGCTCCGCTTTGTCCCTTTCCTTCTCTCCCCCTCTTCTTCCCAGCAACACCCACCGACCCCCGACTTTTTGGTCGACTCCTCCTCTCCCTGTCCCTGGGGAACAACGCGAGGAAGGGCTCTTCGAGTCGCACGAATACCGTGCGCACACATAGGGGCCGAGCAGGCGACGCCAATACCGCCTTCCCTGCCCCGTGAGCTGCTTGCTGCAACGAAGGGCTCGGATAACAAAAACTCACTCCGCGCCGCCTTTGTTCTCCCTCACTGTTCCGCTGCGCCCTGGACGCGGTTCTGGCTGGGCTCCTGCACCCCGCACTGCGGCGGCGGCCGGGCTCAAGGATTTGGGGCAAATCTCAACCTCGCAAATAAAGCGTAAAGCTACACTGATCCAAACGAGTTGTAAAGGAAGAAGATTTTCCAAGTAGACCCTGAGAGGCTGACCCCACCCAACGGTCACAAAGAGCCGGAGAAAACATTCTTACCATAGTTGCTGTTTTGTGGCTGCCGAGCAGATGGCGGAGAGGAGGAGGAGAGGTTGTTGCTTCTTACAGCGCGACTCTTAGGCGGTCGATGTAAGAGAACCTGCGGCACATGGGCGGATGCGGCTCCCTATATACAATTCGGTCACCATGGGGATGGGCTGGGGCCTTTTCCTGTTGGTCCAGACCCCTCAATCTGCCCAGAGAAGCCACGACAGAAGAGTGGTGATTGGTGCAAGCGACATGGGATGAGGTAATCTCTCACCCACCCCTTTTTCCCTAGCATCCATAGACTGTTTGCATCCTTCAGACAAAGAGACCGTGCAAAAACAGTCAGCCGAACATCCATTATGGGGTGGGGTTGGGAAGGGGTGAGGGGAGGGAAGAAAGAGAACTAGAGTTGGATGGTTTTATGTTGTTTAAACCTCAAACTACAGTTAAAATTACCAATGTAAGAGGTTTTTTCCCCAACATGTAATCGCAGAATTTGAGATGAGATATTTAATGGAAAATTATTCCCAGCCCCTCCCTCAAAGTATACTAAACTGCATTCGGTGAGGATTCAACATCTCTAATTGCTTTAAAAATAAAGTAGAAGAGAAGATGGGAATGTTGCTTAAAATGGCTTGGGTAAATGTAATTTTTTTTAATTTAAAAAAATTCAATAATAGGACCATCCAAAATGGTTTCTCAGGTTCAAGTAATTTATTTTCAGATCTTCTTTTGCAACCCTCTCCCTAATAGTTAAACAAAAACAGAAGATGGAAAGCATAATCATACTAAATACGGAAGCACACAAGTAGTTCTAACATGAAGATAATTAAGATCTAATGAACATACCATACTTAGTCTGCTAGAAATATTCCTTTACCAGAAGTCTATGTAATATATTTTATGTAGTGTATTGTTCCTTAAAATGAATCATATTGCCTAATATAGAATTGAGAAAATACAAAGAGAAAGAACTGAGTTCAGAAGCTAGTACTACCTGTGCATGCAGTTATATTCTTCATTGTTCTCTCTTCCGGAAAGAGAAAATTAAAAAGGAGGAGCGCTGTATAGTGTAAAAAAGAAAACCATTTTGTAATATTGTCTCCTTCCACAGACGACCGTGTAGATGTCAGCTCAATAACTGCATTTCTTTTTTATGTAGCTCTTATGTGAATTCAGTAAATTCTCCTTCTCTAAGATTAGGCTTTTAACTGTGGGAATTGTAGCCAGCCTCATACTGTTGCTATTCAACTAGAGACTCTGGTGGTTGCTCAATTGCCTCTTGGGACAAAAGGCTTTGCTTTCAGCCCTAGGAAATGGATTGCAGTAACATTCTTTTGCTATTTAGAAAGGTTCCATTACCAACAAGGATGTGGTATGCGGAATATGACTCTGACTGGGTACCATTTGACGTTGCTAATGAAATTTCATAGGTAAAGAAGGTTGTTATTGCCACCGAAGTTGAAAATTTGTATTTTGGTGGATAATTTTTCCTTTTGGTTTTTAGCAACAGATTTTCAGCGTCTGCAGCACCATTTATAGTGCTCTGCAGAGCCCATTCATTCCTGCTGGGCTGGCAGTCAGTGCTTGGGCGTGGGAGGGAGGGACTTGAGACAGCTGCTGCAGGTTGTGGTGTGACAGTGGCGACCATGGATTTTTCTAGCCTGAGAGCCACAGCTCTTGCTTTACTTGTTCAAATTTGCTGCGGTAGTCATCCCTAGAAAAAAATGAGACCCGACATACAAATAATTTTATCTACTTCTTTCATATTTTACAGGAAAAATAATTTTCATTATCTTGTCTCTATACCTTTAGCAAATAAAAGTATATTTCAGTAAAGAGACAGAAGGGTTAAGGATGACTTGAATACTTTTTACTGAACCAGAAAATACACTTAACAAAAGTAAGAATTAAATGGCATAGGGAAGTATAAGGATTAATAAGTAGCTCATTGAAAATACTTCTTTCAAAAGTTTAATAAAGAAATAAATTGCACACAACTGGACCATGGTAAAGTGTACACATCTCCTTTTTTGGAATAAGAGGCACAGTCTTGAATTTTATTTTCTTTACAATATGAAAGCAATATGTCATTTCCCCAATAGTCTCAGTTCTTTACTGCAATTTACAGAGGATTAAATAAAAGAGAGGAGGGCTCATGCAATTGATACTTTGTAATTCTATCTCAGAAGCATTCATGAAAATAGGGATTTTTTTCCCTCCCCTCGGACATAAGTAACAATAAGATCTAGGTCAGAAATAGACTATGTGAGCACTGTTAATCTTAAATATATAAATGGGAGAGGAGGGGAAATAATAATCTATTCTTTTTGTTCCTGATTATCTGACTTAATAGCATACAAGCTATGGGAAGCAAAAAAAATTTTTTTAATAGATCATTTTTTTAAAAATTTTATTTAATTTTGGCTGCGTTGGGTCTTCGTTGCTCTGTGCAGGCTTTCTCTAGTTGCAGCGAGGAGGGGTTACTTTTCGTTGAGGTGCAAAGGATTCTCATTGCAGTGGCTTCTCTTGTTGCAGAGCATGGGCTATAGGTGGGTGAGCTTCAGTAGTTGTGGCTCGTGGGCTCTAGAGTGCAGGCTCAGTAGTTGTGGCACACGGGCTTAGTTGCTCTGTGGCCTGTGGGATCTTCCCGGACCAGGGATTGAACCTGTGTCCCCTGTATTGGCAGGCGGATTCTTAACCACTGAACCACCAGGGAAGTCCTACTAGATCATTTTTTTATATTTACTGCCAAATTCTTTAACTTACATCAGTATACATGTATAAATATTCTACTAATGTATTCTTTCTAGTCCACAGTAAAATTAGGATAAAACATTTTTTCTTTCATAATATTTGTGGAATTTAAATTATTTATTTGGGTGTCTACATCTCCTCTTCATTAAAATGTGAATCCTGGGGCTTCCCTGGTGGCGCAGTGGTTGAGAGTCCGCCTGCCGATGCAGGGGACACGGGTTCGTGCCCCGGTCCGGGAAGATCCCACATGCCGCGGAGCGGCTGGGCCCGTGAGCTAAGGCCGCTGAGCCTGCGCGTCCGGAGCCTGTGCTCTGCAACGGGAGAGGCCACAACAGTGAGAGGCCCGCGTACCGCAAAAAAAAAAAAACCAAAACCAAAACCAAAACCAAAAACAAAAAAAAATGTGAATCCTAGTCACAGATTGCCTAGCATATGGTAAACATCATATAGATGTTTGTTGAATTAAATGAATGATTTCTGTCTGTGCATATTTTCATAACTATTATCATGGTTAATAATTTAAAGGTATTTAATAAAGTATTTTACCTTACTTATTCAATAAGCATTTACTTGCTGTCTGCAATAAGCCCTGGACCATCCAGTGTAGCATGGAGAATTCAGAGGTAGTAACATGGTCTCTTTTCTCTAGAATCTTCTGGTCCAATCAAAGTAATAAAACAAGTACAAGTATATAGTTTTGAGAATGGCATGTGTTTCTGTGTGTGTATGGGGAGGAGCCTTGTAGAATCCATTGCATGACCCCATGTATCTAACTTATGTAGGAAACAAGGGAGTTGTTTAACAATTTTTCTACTTCTTCACCTCCTATTTATCCCTAAATGCATTTCAGTCGATTCTGCTCCTACCACTTCTTGAAACCAAATGCCCTCTCCATTTGTTGCTAAATCCATTGGACACTTTCTGGTTCTTGTTGACCTGTGATAAGCTTTGTCACAGTTGACTGTTATCTCTTTCTTTTTTTTTTTTTTTTTTTGCAGTACGTGGGCCTCTCACTGCTGTGGCCTCTCCCATTGCGGAGCACAGGCTCCGGACGTGCAGGCCCAGTGGCCATGGCTCATGGGCCCAGCCGCTCTGCGGCATGTGGGATCTTCCTGGACCGGGGCACGAACCCGTGTCCCCTGAATCGGCAGGCGGACTCTCAACCACTGCGCCACCAGGGAAGCCCTGTTATCTCTTTATTGAGACGCTTTGTGCCCTTGGCTTCAAAAATTCTCTGTTTTCTTGTTTCCCTCCTACTTTTTTTGTTTCTTCTCAGTTTCTGCTGGTTCTTCCTCTTCTCCTAATCTTTAAATGTTGGAGTTCCTCAAGGTTCGGTCCTAGACTTTTTCCTAATTTTATTCTATGGATCTTGCCCTAGTGTCTGGTAAGTGTGTTCATTCCCAACGCTGCAGATCCTTTCTATATGCCGATGGCTCCTTGACATCTTCTTCTTTTTTTAAATTTTTTAAAACATCTTTATTGGAGTATAATTGCTTTACAATGGTGTGTTAGTTTCTGCTGTATAACAAATTGAATCAGCTATACATATACATATATCCCCATATCCCCTCCCTCTTGCATCTCCCTCCCACCCTCCCTATCCCACCCCTCTAGGTGGTCACAAAGCACTGAGCTGATCTCCCTGTGCTATGCAGCTGCTTCCCACTAGCTATCTATTTTACATTTGGTAGTGTATATATGTTAGTGCTACTCTCTCACTTCGTCCCAGCTTACCCTTCCCCCCCCATGTCCTCAAGTCCATTCTCTACGTCTGCGTCTTTATTCCTGTCTTGCTTGACATCTTTTAGATCCAGATCTTATAGTAAACTTCCAGTCTCTGGCTGGGTTTCTCACATGTATCCCAAACTGAACTAGTTATCGTCTCAAAAATATGCACCTCCTACAAGTTTCTCTTGCTCAGTAAATAGAGCAGCACACATCTGGTTTCTCAAATCAGAAACAAGAATTACTCTTGACATCTCCATCTCCTTTTCTGAACACCATAGAATTAATTATTAAGTCCTGCCAAGTCTACCTCCTAAATATCTCTCAAATATTATTCTTTTCTTTTCATCTCTATTGCCTCCACTCTAATAAGTACATCATCCCTTGCCTGGAAAACCTCAGTACCCTTCTAGATTTCCTCTACATTCACTCACTCTTACCCCTCTCCAGTTCAGTCTCCATACAACAGCTGGAGTGATCTTATTGTAATACATATCACTGATCATGTCATAATATAGTTATAATATGTTAATTTTAACAGTATAAACTCATGAGTTCATAAAGTTATCCCCAAAAAGCAAAAGAAAATTAAAAAAAGATAAAAGTGAATTAAAAATAATCATCTGATACCATTGCACCATTGGAAATAACTGGGGCACCAACTGCATATTCTATACACTGGCAATCGTATAGTCAAATAAAGAATTGAGCATTTGTCCTGCATTTCCTGTACAAATTGTATTTCAAGGTGACCAAATGGCCCTAGTTAACCAGAGAAAATCATTCTTTAAAGAGTAATGCCAGCTTGTAAATATGGAAGTAATAACAGAGTCAGAAAAATCACGCTTTATATCCTCTAATGAAATAATTTATTAAGGCAAAGATTATCAGTGGATGAAAACTCAGATAAAATATTGATGGGGAATGTTTTAATGGAAGGATAGGCTGTTGCCATCTGAACTCACTAGTCAATCATAGCATCACTAAAAGCGGGACAATCACACCCTGTGAACCTAAGATGTGATCCAGTAAGAGGTACACAGCATCACCTATGAAGTGATGTAGCAGAAACAGTTGTGCTGAATCTAATTAAGCCTTTAGAGCCAACTTCCGTTTAGTCTGACAACTTCAACTTCTGGGAAGTAAGATGACATCACGAGGAGGAAAACAGACAACTGCAGAGTGTAGGACATTCTACAGCATAAATTATCTTGTTTCTGCAACAAGTCAATGGTGGGATGGGTGGAAAACGTGGGAAAGTGGGACAGCTCTAGGTTAGAAGAGATTTTGGAGACTAACTACTAAATATAACAGCAGATGTTGTTTGGATCCTGATTCAAACAAACCAATGTAAAACATTTTGAAGATAACCAGGGAAATTTGAATATGGACTAGTTATTAGATAATACCAATAAATTATTATTAATTTTATTAAGTGTGATAATGGTAGTGTGGTTGTGTAAGAAAATTTCCATAATTTTTAGAGATGCATGCAGAAGTGGTAGGTTAAATGAAATAAGGTCTGAGATTTGCTTTAAAATACTTCAGCAGGGCTTCCCTGGTGGTGCAGTGGTTGAGAGTCCGCCTGCCGAGGCAGGGGACACAGGTTCATGCCCCGGTCCGGGAAGATCCCACATGCCGCGGAGCGGCTGGGCCCGTGAGCCATGGCCGCTGAGCCTGCGCGTCCAGAGCCTGTGCTCCGCAACGGGAGAGGCCACAGCAGTGAGAGGCCCACGTACCGCAAAAAAATAAATAAATAAAAATATTTCAGCAAAGAAAAAGGGAAACGATGGTAGATAACAGATTGTGGCAAAAATCTTGATAGTTGTTGAGTTTTAATAATGAGTATATGGAGTTCATTATACTTTTTTCTCTATTTCTGAGTATGTTTGAAAATTTCTTAATAAAATTTTAAAGGATATAAAAAAAGAAATTGTGAATGCTGAAGACAAATTTTATCTACTTCATAATTTATTCTGTACTGCCTTAAGTGAAAAGTTATAGAAATTTAAGAGGGAGGAAAAAGTCTTTATATTATAATCTATGGTTTATCGTGAAAACCTTTATTGGGAATGGTGGCTTTTAACTGAATGGGTTGGGAGTAGAGTGAGTACTTTATTATTTTATTTTAAAACTTTATTTATTTTTGGCTGCGTTGGGTCTTCGTTGCTGCGCACGGGCTTTCTCTAGTTGCGGTGAACGGGAGCTACTCTTCGTTGTGGCGTGTGGGCTTCTCATTGCGGTGGCTTCTCTTGCTGCGGAGCACGGGCTCTAGGTATGCGGGCTTCAGTAGTTGTGGCACGCAGGCTAAGCAGTTGTGGCTCGTGGGCTCTAGAGCACAGGCTCAGTAGTTGTGGCACGCGGGCTTAGTTGCTCCATGGCATGTGGGATCTTCCCGGACCAGGGCTCAAACCCGTGTCCCCTGCATTGGCAGGTGGATTCTTAACCACTGCTCCACTAGGGAAGCCCAGAGTGAGTACTTTAAATAGGGAAAATAATATTAGCAAAGACATAGTATGATGATGATATGGTGCCTCTGTAAGGGAGGGCAAAGAAATTAACTTGATTAGCGCATGCAAGAGAATTGTGGGTGATGTGTTATATGAGGAGAGTGGAGCATTTTGAACCCCAGTCTGAAGAAGGAGTTTGGGCTGAGTTCACACACACAGACAGTGTGAAGCCTTTATATTCTTATAGAAAAGAGTGGAGGGAAAGGAATAGCATTTTTGTAAAATTAATCTGACAGGTAAGTGGAGTAGGGAAAGAGACTGGGGATAAGTGGATCAATAAGGAGGTTATGGTAATAATCTAAGCAGAAGGTGTCAAACCATTGTAATTACAGTAGGAATGGGTAGAAGGTAATAATAGAAGAGACCATCCAAAGGAAGAATCCCACTGGTGATTGGCTGGACATGAGGTAAAAAGGAAAGAGTCAAAATTAACCCTTAAAGTTTTGAGCCTGGAGAACTAAGAGAATGAAATGGTAGTGCTGCTTTTTACAGAAATAGGGAAGTTGAGAAGGGATACACGTCTAAGCAGGATACATGCATTTGTGTGTGTGTTTTGGGGAGGGTGTTAAGGGCAGGACCCATCAGTCAATGTGATCTTGCAAGTTGAATGTTATACTGTTTGAGGTGATAGGTGGATTGAGTGGAGAAGTCGTAGAGGCCACTGGGAATCTGAGATTGGCACTGCTCAGAGAGAGGTCAGCATCAGAGGTGTGACAATGTATATTTGGAACCTAATGACAACAACATTATGTGCCAGTGGTGTGGTATAAGAATAGAGTTCTCCAAGTGTAACCCAGAATTTCAAGTTATGCTGTTGAATGGGCAACACAGGTACAGCTATGTTCACCAAATGAAAAGCCTTTCTTTCTTTTTTATTCTTTATTTTGAAAACTTTTTATTGAAGGATAACGTACGTACATAAATTTTCACCAATCATAAATGTACAGTTTTGCAAACTTCTGATTACTAGTGTAACCAGTATACAGATCAAGTAACAGAACTATCTGAGAGGCCTCCCTCTGGTTCCCCTACCCTGTCACTATCTACTCTCAGTAATCCCCACTGACTTTTAGCACAATGGGTTTGTTTTGCCTGTTTTTGAAGTTTATATAAGTGGAATATACTCTTTTATATGTGGGTTCTTTTATTCAATGTTATGTTTGTGAAATTTACTCATACCACTGAATGCAATTGTAAATTGTTCTTATTTCTATTTATTTAGAACCACTGGACCACCAGGGAAGTCCCATGACTTTAATTTTTTATTTACCCTATGGTATGAATATACTATAATTTATTTATCTATTTCCCAATGTTAATGGATATCTGCATTGTTTTTTGCTATTACAAATGGCATTGCTATTAGCATTCTTGTACATGTGTTTGGGTGAATATATTTACAAATTTCTGCTGTTTGCATTTCTGCTGCTAGGAATTTCAATTCCTAGGAGTGGAACTGTAGGGTAATAAGGCATGTATATGTTCAGTTTAGTAGAAAAAAATGTTAATTTTTCCAGAGTGGTTGTGGTTATGTACACTCCCACTAGTAGTATGCGAGAGTTCTGGTCATTCCTCATCCTCCTTCACTGTAGCCATTAGGAGAGTTTATAGTATATCTATCACATTGTGACTTAAATTTTTTTTTAGTACTTATTTATTATTTTTTTGGCGGTTTTGGGTCTTAGTTGCGGCACACGGGCTCTTCGTCACGGTGCATGGGCTTCTCTCGAGTTGTGGCACGTGGGCTTAGTTGCTCCACGGCATGTGGTATCTTAGTTCCCCAACCAGGGATTGAACTGGCATCCCCTGCATTGCAAGATGTATTCTCAACCACTGGACCACCAGGGAAGTCCCATGACTTTAATTTTTAACTAATGAGGTTGACACCTTTTCATTTGTTTATTTATTTGTTTATCTGGATATCCTGTCTGCTGAAATGCCTGTTCAAGTCTTTCTCATGTTTTCTCATGGGTTGCCTGTTTTTACCAATCTTAAGCATTGGTAGGAATACATTATATATTATGAATAAGAGTCCTTTGTTGGATTTACAGATGGAAAAAGAAAATCTTTTCCCACTCTGTACCTTGTCTTTTCACTCTCTTAATGATGTCATGTGATGAGCAGACGTTCTTAATTTTAATGTAGTTCAATTTACCATTTTTTCTTTATTGTTAGCAATTTTTGAGTTATAATTAAGAAATCTTTGCCTACCCACAAGGTCATTAACATACTCTCCTGAAGGATTTATTGTTCAACCTTTTGTATAGTTCCACAATACACAGGGAAATTGATATTTTTGTGTGTATGGTGCAATGTAGGGATTAAGATTATTTTTTTCTCCATATGGATATACGGTTGATCCAGCACTATTTATGTAGGAGACCATCCTTTTCCCACTGGACTGCAGTGACACCTTTGTCATAAATCAAGGTACCATATATATATGGAAAGCCTCCTTTCTTTCTAGCGTATACATATTCCAACTTAATCATTTTCTAAATTATTAAAATCTTTTTTTAACCCAAGTGATTAACTCATATGGATGAACAACCGTATAGGCTTCATATGTTGATTCATTTGTTTTCTTCCTGACAACATACTGATTGCCTTCTAAGGTGCTCATATTGGGCCAAGCATACTCTAGGGTATTAATAGGTGCTTGTTTGGCTAAGATTTAACTGGACATAATGCATTCTGATAAGTCCCAAGGAAGAGGCTTGGCATGATCCTGTGCAAAGAGATATGTATTTCTTATAATCTCCAGATCTTTGGGGGGTGGTGTGGTGTAGAGGATGCAGGAAGGCTTCCTGGAAGAGGTGATACTTGGGGCTGTCTTGAAAAATGAATAGGAGTAGTAGGTACAAATGCGGAGGAGAGTCCACATGCAAATACACAGACAACTGGGTGAGTTTCAGAAACTGGAAGTGGTTTGTTATGGTTTGTTACATAAAGTATAAAGGGATTGGGGAGTACTAGTCTGGAGAATTATGCAAAGAACTGATTATGAAAGGACCTTATTCCAAACTCAGTGAGAGCCATTAAAGGAAAGAGGAATAATGAACTTTGCATTTCAGCAAGATCCTGACTGCTCTGTGGAGAGAGAATAGATAGAACAAAGTTGGGGATGGAGGAACACGAAGCAGGGAGACTGGTTAGAAGATGGCTGGTTAGTTGATGATAACACTGATTTAAGGAAGTGGTAGTGGCAATGGAAAACAGTGGATATATTTGGGAAATATATGGAAGGTTGAATCTAGAGGAGCTGCTGATATGTAGGAATGAGGAGCAGCAAGGAATGAAGGATGGGGCTGCTGCCTCCAGAGCCAGGCAGCCTTGGGCTTAATTCTCCTTTTTGTCATAATTTAGACCAGATTAGAAAGACCATTATGGATTTAAAGAATGGATTGGAAACGTTTGAGATGGAAGACAAGGAGACTAATTAGGAGGCTATTGCAATCATCCAGGCTTTATGATGAAAGTCATGGGGATAGAGGGAAAGAGAGTGGTTGGAAGGAAAGTGATGGATTTGGGGGATATTTGGGAGTTTGACTTACCTGATTTGGGAATAGACTTAGTAAATTAAAAACAGAAACTTTCCTGGTGATGCAGTAGTTAGGAATCCGCCTGCCAGTGCAGGGGACACGGGTTTGAGCCCTGGTCCGGGAAGATCCTACATGCTGTGGAGCAGCTAAGTAACTAAGTCTGTGCGCCACAACTACTGAGCCCGCAAGCCACAACTACTGAGCCCGAGCGCCTAGAGCCCGTGCTCCGCAACGTGAGAAGCCACCACAATGAGAAGCCCCTGCACCGCAACAAAGAGTAGCCCCCGCTCGCTGCAACTAGAGACAGCCTGCACGCAGCAACGAAGACCCAACGCAGCCAAAAAATTTAAATAAATAAATAAATAACAGTAAAGGACTTCAAGAGAAAGCAGTGTCAGAAAAGGGCACACAGATGCACTGGCCAAGGAGGAGAAAAAGCAGAAGACATTGATGTTGTAGAAACAAAGGAAGGACAGTGTCAGGATAGAGTGCTGAGTAACATCAAATACTGTAGAGGGGTTGTTAATAAGGACAGTAGAGTGTTCGTTGGATTTAGCTACAAGGAAATAAGTATACAGCAAGGGCTTGGCCAAAAGGCATAAAACATGTTTTCTGTTCCAGAGGAGTTCAAGGTCCCGAGAATGGACTGTGTTGAGTGCTGTGAGAGAGAGGTCAGCGCAGGAGCTTTCAGACACAAAGAACTGTGTCACATTTCCCCACTTCATCCCACTATGGTGTACACTGCCTCTGCATCTTTTTGAAATGACCATACCTGTCCACCTCATGCTGCCCTCCTCATGTAGGTTTGATTGTAAATGGATAAATTCAAACAACTAAGTTTCCCTTGAATTCCACAACAAAAACACACCTCAAATTCTAAATTTAAGCAAGGAGATGAATATGATTATGCTGACATGCTGAATTTACATTTCTCTTTTTTTTTTTTCTACATTTATCTTTATTTTAGGGTTCAGCACTGATCAAGGTATTGAGTGAACTGGCTGGCTCTCACTAAGTATGGCCTTTAAGGACTATCTACTGCATTCCCCTTGGCAAAATTTCAATGGTAAGGTCTAGGTAAGAATATGACCCCACACCTGAATTCAGAGTTTTATTTAAAGCTTAACATTCACTTTTTCAACCTCTGGTCAACAAATGCACTATTACTAAATAATAGTTTTTTTCTGGATAATGGTGGTTAAGAATTATCTGTGGTGATTCTGGTACCTGAGTTTCATCTATTTTGGGAAGGACGTTTATATGTAGTATAGCAGAGGCAAATATTAATGAATTTCTGTTCCAGAAGTAAGACTTATAAAATAACACATTAAACACGTGTACTCTGTAATATGAAAAATACGTCTCTGGTATTGTAGTGCAATGTTTTGAGGTCACTCATTGATGTTCAGTCATTTACTGAAACACTGTTTTTAACAAAATATTTATGTACTGAGATACACATTTTAATTTGTAATTTTGCTCTGGTACATTGAGGAGGTGCTTTACCCAAGTCTACTGATGGAATCTGACATTTGGAAAAGGGGACAAAACTTGAAGAGGCTCAAAGGCATCCTGAGAAGAGAAGAAAGAGAAGGAAGTGTAAAAGACAGTAGGTAATCTCAGTTTTCCATGAAACACAATTTATAATTTAGTTGCATTTCATTAACCCAAATTACATACACTCACAAGAATGCACATTGAACTGCTTCAGTCCTGCCCCTCCTTTACCTCAAAGCAGATGGAAATTAGGTGGCAGACTGGGAAGGTTGCCATGGTGTACTGGCTACAGGGATTTAGTAGCAATCAAAAAAAGGCTCCAGAGTCCCTTCCCCCAACCATCCAAATGTGTGTTTCTCTTTTTTTCTCTCAAGTCCTTGTCTTAATTAATTCCATGTTATAGAGAAATCAGGGTGAGATTGATTTACTAGTGAGAAAAAATTTTTACTGCCTCCAAAATTGTTTATAGATGCATTGATACTGTTAGAAGTAAAATACTGATGAATTATAACTGGTCCATTTTTATGTAGAGCTAGCCACACAAAAAGTAAGAATTTATTTTTTAAAAGTCTTATACAACATGCCCCCCATCTTTGAGACTTATATTTCTTACTGGTTTTTATTCCCCTGGATGACCTGCCGGCATCTCAAATTCAATATATCTAAGTGAAATTAGTTATTTTTCTCCATTACCCTCCTGAGTATTCTATACTCTCAATTATTCTATTCTCAATATCAGTTCATTGTCACCATCTTTCTAGTCTATCAAGCTAGAGTAAAATAATAATAACTTCATATAATATTTACTATGTGTCAGGCGCTATTCTTAGCACTTTATATATATTATTAACTGATTTAAGTTAATCCCAATTAATCGCTAAATTCTGTCAATTATATTTCAAAATTGTCGTAATAAATATTTGCAGGATGAACAAATGACTAATCATCTAAAGCTTGACCAATTTTATTAGCCAAAGGGCTTACTTAGCTCAAGGGGAGGATGTGGCAGAATATTTAGGAATTGCTCTTTGAGTTTCCTCTTTAAGCATTACATGTATAAATCCATGAGCCAAAATAGTAGAAGATAACCCTTTGTAACATATTGGAATCATCCATTACACCAGTGTTTCCTAAATGTGCTGAAGTAACTAGGGTGCTAGTTAAAAATACTGATTCCAGTTCCGGCATTGAAGAGTCTGATGCAGTAGGTCTAATTCAGTAAATAGTGTTCTCTTAGAATTAATAATTTACTGCTTGGAACTAAAGAGTTTCAATGCTTTGGAGTAGTGTGATTCAGTTACTTCTAAATTCTGATAACCCCCAGATAAATTGACAGAGAATTACTCTCCAGACAGTCATAATTCTGAAAGACGCAACTCCCAGTGATGTCCAGCTGCAAAAGGTTTTGGGAAACATTTCTCCATTTTCCTTTAGATTTAAAAATCAATTATGCATGTGCAGAAGAAAGGAAAGGCTGCTCAGCCTAAAGATCATTTCTCTATTCCCCTTAAACATTGATTGTGCATGTATTGAAGAGAAAGGATTAGAAAAGGCTGCGGTTTTTTTTCTTCATCTGCTTATAAGAACAGCAACGTGTTATTTAGTATACAGATTATAAGAGATGCAGAGGTTTACTCAAGGTAGCATGCCCTGAAATAAGTCCCTCCTCATGGTAAGATTGTCTCTGGATTTAGCATACTTTACTAAATAAGCTCAGTATTAATATTTTTAAATGATTTCAGTATTTTTAGGTATGTAAGAGAGACTTCACTCTCACCCTTCGTGTTACTAAGCAACGTATCATACAGTTGCCAGGAGACAGACTAGCAAGCTTGGGGGTAGTTCAGTTTTCCCTCATCACTTTGCATACCACATGACTGTACCCTAGAGAGTTTTACAGCCTTAGAGAAAAGAGAGAAAAGTTAATGGCCCATAGAAAGGATGGAAAAAGAGACCAGGATGAGGGAATAGAATAAGGAAAACAGCAAGGTATTTGAGAAGAGTGTGTGAGGTTGGATGAGGAAGGCTATTATGCAATTTCCTTAAATGAGTCATGAAAAAACCTTAAGTTGCCAGTGCTCTATTTCATATTCTGTATGCTTCTATCTTTTCTAAAAGCATATTAGACAGTAAACTTGGAGAAGAGCTTTCAGATAATATTCCTGAATATTTTCAGAAGGGTGGAAATCAATTGTAACTCTTACAGAAGACTGCCAATTACAAACACATTAAACAAGTCATACATTATTTAAAATTCCAAAGTCAGATATACAACACTATTTCCTTCCATTTCTCCCTGAAAATAGTAAAAAAAGATAGTTCTAAGAGGGAGGTTATAATATAAATGTTCTTGGACAAATTTAGAAAAAAGGTGGTTATATAGGCTCCTGGGCGGTATGTATTTCTGTACAAAATTTAACAAATCTAAATAAAGAAGGGAAAGAAGAAGCTATTGTGCTCTACCTAGAGGACTCTTGTATCTGAAATAAGAAACCAGGCTCTAGGTTTCATTGTGTGCATGTGAAAGGTTGAGTCTTTGTGTCTCTGTGGTATTTACTGTTGCTGGCAACCAGGAAGCTCCCTAGCGATTGTTGCTAGGTCCTCAGGGCCTCTGTTTGCCTGAAACCTTAATCAATGCCAGAAAGACCAGAGATAGAAATCGTTGCGCAAAATCCAGAGCCTGTTGTCCCCAATGGTCCTGCTGCAAACAGTCCATCTTGTGTTCAGTGAAAATCAGTGTAAAATGGAGACTTCACACAAAGAGTTCATCCTCAGCTTCCTCTTCACGAACTCCAGTGCTCTCAGTGCAGAGCACTAAGAGGACCCTGGGGGGATGCTTTAATAAAATAAGGTTTATATTCTGGTGTCACCAGCTTTGACTAAATACACAGTAAAGAGTCTGAGACAGGGAGCACAGACAAGAAAGATTTCGTTAGATTTAGATGACTTCCTATTCTGAGGTAGGGTGGCCCCCTTAATGTTTGCTGACAGCATGACACTGTAGTGACCACAGAAGCCATGGTGCAAATGATAGCACCATTTCAAATAGGAATCCAGAAGATTCTGATAAAGATCCATGCCAGCCATATTCAGTATCTTGTAAGAATATACATATACATCGATCTGAATCACTTTGCTGTACAGCTGAAACATTGTAAGTCAACTATACTTCAATTAAAAAAAAAGATCCATGTCAGCATCATCCCCAGAATAACGGACACTGTCTCTTGAAATTAAACATCAGCTCTTAGATGAACCTCACAATCAATACAGCCCACTTACTTAAGCCATCCTGTACAGATGCAGGCTTTAAATTTTGTTTCCTGTGTAACACCTGCCCAGTCATAGACAGTTTTAGCTCTGAATTTACCTGGAAACAACTATAAATCTGGGGTGAGATTTATTATAAAGCTAAGACATAATATCTACTTAAAACCAGGTATCTAGCCTCCAAAAGTAGGACTGAGAGTTACTTATTATTGTCATTATTACTAATTTTTGAGCACCTAATCAAGGCTAAGGAGTTTGTATGTATTATCTAACTTAATCCTTAAAATAATTCTAGGAGGTAGGTATAGTTATATTCACATTTTTCCTCAGTTGAGGAAACTGAGGTTCAGAGAAGTTAAATAATATTCCCAAGGTCTCTCACAGCTAATAAGTGGCAAAATGATAATTTAAACCTGGACCTATCCTGCTCCAGCTTTTGACTCTGAACTACTATTCTATGTATTCCATTTAATAGAGAATGCTTTTCATGTGGGAATAAATTGTGTAGTACATCATTGTGTCAAGGTGAAGAGTATAGGCTCTGATGTTCCTCTGTCCCCTTGTAGGGTAGTTGAAACTCAGAACGTCTGCTCTCTCTGTGGTTGGCTTTGCCACAATGGCTCTACCAGGACAGTCCTCCAGAACCCTGCAATTCCCCATCCTTGCATTTCCCCAAATCTAGTTATTCCATATGTAATAACACCTAGTGGAGTCTTTAGATGGATGGCTCAGATTGGGCTCTGCAGTCCCAGTCCAGTCAAGCTGGCAGTTCTTTTTCAGTGTGAGGAAGGCTTGCCTCTAGAGCCTTCCTGTACTCACCTGATCTCTTCTTCTCATTTCCTTATCTAATAAGAACAGGAGATCATTTTTAGGGGCTGTTTAGTCTGAATTCTAATTTAGAAAAGAAAGCCTTTTAAAAGAACAATCTGGATAGCTGTAACATTTTACATTGTCCAGAGTGGTTTAGTGCCTTGGAGCCACATTGTCTCAAACTCTTCATTCCAGGGACCTCCCTGGCAGTCTAGTGGTTAAGACTCTGTGCTCCCAATGCAGGGGGCATAGGTTCAATCCCTGGTCAGGGAACTAAGATCCCACATGCCGCAAGGTGTGGCCCAAAATTTTTTTAAAAATAAAAGGAAAATATTTTTTAAAATCTTCATTCCAGAATAAATCTTGCCTTTCTCTTTGCATAACCAACTTCATTGAATTGATATTTCAAAGCAAAGAAATATTTGATGATTAAAAAATATTTTATTTAAATGGGCTTCCCTGGCGGCACAGTGGTTGAGAGTCCGCCTGCCGATGCAGGGGACACGGGTTCGTGCCCCGGTCCGGGAAGATCCCACATATCGCAGAGCGGGTGGGCCTGTGAGCCATGGCCGCTGAGCCTGCGCGTCCGGAGCCTGTGCTCTGCAACAGGAGAGGCCACAACAGTGAGAGGCCTGCGTACCGCAAAAAAAAAAAAAAAGCTTTCATTCTTCCATATGCACTGGGCAAAAAGCTTGAAATAGTTACATTCAGGTGGTGTGCGGTGGTCTGCTTGTAAGGGCTCGTGAGAATTGATTGTATGTACCTCTTCCCAGTTCTATATTTAGTGATCAGAATCACATTGGTAGCTTGAAATTGGTCATGAGGGAAGAATTTACACATGGAAATTGGCCAGTGCTACAAATCGGGGCTTTTTTCCCTCTCTGAGAGCTAGTTGTTAAACATTTACTAGAGAACCGCTAAGAGAGGAGTTCTCAAAAAGCAATGCATCAGCTGTTTAACTTCAGTGAAACATAGTCAATCCTTGTGTTACTGGCATAATGTTGCTGAACTTCTCCTGTATTGTGTAAATGAAGTC